TGTTACTTACTTGCATTTTACTAGATTTTAACTCATACTTGAATTCAAAATTAAGTATAATTTGTAAATCTATGATACATAAACAAATCTCCCTTAACTCCCTCCTTTCTCGCTAACTTGAAACCTAGTATGAAAATATTAATTAGTGAAACAATATGTAGTTACTTCAATCTATAGAAAACATTAATAATAAATATGGTGAAAATGCTTGTGTAATTAATAATTAATAATAACCGAGATGCTATAATAGTTTTATTAGGCACAATACTTACATGGTCTATTGTCTTGAATTTAATATAGTCCAAAATAATTTATGAACTTGGTAACATTTCACTACTTACCACTAGGAAATACAAGTCCCAAAACAAAAGGAAAAAAAAGTGATTTCATGTATGTTCCTAGAAAATTTGGAAATTAGTCAATGCAAGATTATCTAAAACTTCCACAAGACGAGACGTTGAAGAATCAAATAATAAAATTAGTAAAGGCTGATTATATCGCAGTTTAATTGAAGTGAATGATGCAAATTAGGAAATTGGATGATATTACCTCTTCAAGCTTTATGGGAAATGCTAGACAACTTTTCAAAAATACAAAATCCTACAACAATTCAATAAAATATTCCTTAAAATACGATATAACCTAGAAGGTTGCTTCATGTTTACTTCCAAGTTTCTAAAACAAATTTTATTTTAGACATTTTATTTCGCAGCAAATCAACCCTGCCAGCAATGGGGATTCTCCACTTCGAATGTCCACTACTTTCTAACTGAGATGCTATAAAAGAAAAGCCGCTAATATGTAACAGATCTAAAGCAGCGATCACAAAAATATTTGCATTTTTCTCCATGTTGGAATTCGGAGATATGCACACTAGCAGAAAACCAAGCAATAAACCATATATACTCTTGTCGATGTTAATTGTCAATTCAATAGTGTCTTGTATTGGAATATTAACTTACGCAATCCCATTTGGAACAAAAAAACTTAAAGCCATGAATAAATCAAACTCATAAAAGACCGTTTTGATAAACCAAGTTGTCAACACTCAAACAATAGATGCAGCAATTGTGTAAAGCATCAATATTTCAATTGTTTATGGAGGAGGCAAGTATGTCAGGTAAGCTACAATGGTCTGTGTAGCTCCCTGTTTCCTCGCCTAATTGTTACTAAGCTCTCCTTATAAAAATAAACCATACATACAACCACAAATATCGCCCTGATGTCTTGTCTCATGAGTCATAAGAGATCATCTCAGAAGACAATGGTTGATATATACATCTCC